AGGAAGGAAGGAAGGAAGGAAGGAAGGAAGGAAGGAAGGAAGGAAGGAAGGAAGGAAGGAAGGAAGGAAAAACAGACACTGGGAGTTGAAATAATAAAACTCTATTTTGAATTTTGCTCTTCGGCTCTTCAACTACTTTTGCAGAACACTTAACCTATTTTCTGCATTTTACAGTACTTCAAAGTAAGAAGAAAGTCCAGAAATATTTCACAAGAAGAGTTCTCCACTCCTCTACTCGTTATAGAATACCTTATGCCACCAGACTTGAAATTCTAGAACTAGAAAACCTTGAATTACGCCGTCTTCGGTCTGATTTAAGCATGGTATATAAAATCATACATTGCAATGTCCTACCTGTCAATGAATACTTCAGCTTCAACCATAACAACACAAGAGCACACAATAGATACAAACTCAAAGTTAACCGCACCAAACTTGATTGCAGGAAATACGACTTCAGCAATAGAGTGGTCAATGTCTGGAATACTCTACCCGACTCTGTAGTTTCTTCCCCAAACCCCAAAAACTTTAACCTTAGACTGTCTACTATTGACCTCACCCCTTTCCTAAGAGGCCTGTGGGGGGCGTGCATAAGCGCACCAACGTGCCTACCGTCCCTGTCCTATTGTTTCTCTTATTCTTTTATTTTTCTTATATGTACCCATTTCATGTATTCACAACTATGTATACATTTATACTTATTATCTTGTAAACAATTGGCAAATCAAATAAATAAATAAATAAATAAATAAATAAATAAATTCCTTGAAACGACTTGGTCTGAAGATTGTACTAAGCCAGAAAAAGGAAGCCTGGTTACAACTAATTAGGTTGATGATTATTCTGCCAATGCAATCTTGGTATTTAAAATGCCTTGGTTTTAGCATGTTGTGAAAACAGACAGCCTCTGAATAATATCACCCCTTTCAAATGTGCCTCTCAGGCTTTGTTGGAGGAAAGAAACCCGCATTCTTGATCAGTCGATTACCGAACTCGCTTAGAGAAGTCTTCAATTTTTTCATTCCCCCCGTGAAAGAGAGAAAGAAATATTTCTCTCTGTTTCGTCCATTGTGCCAAAAGGCCACCTCTCTGAGGCCTGGAGCCACAACCGTGAGATCATTTTCTTAAAATATCTAACACATTATCTCCCCATTATTTTAGAATAGAAAAGAATAGAAAAAAACAGAGTTGGAAGGGACCTTGGAGGTCTTCTAGTCCAGGGGTCTCCAACCTTGGCAACTTTAAGACTTTAAGCTAAACTGGCTGAGGAACTCTGGGAGTTGAAGTCCACAAGTCTTAAAGTTGCCAAAGTTGGAGACCCCTGTTCTAGTCCAAACCCCTCCTTAGGCAGGAATATATTTTATCTATTTTGGGTATTAAAGGTAAACCAGTCTCAATTAGAACGTAGAACGACAGAGTTGGGAGGGACCTTGGAGGTCTTCTAGTCCAACCCCCTGCTCAGACAGGAAACCCAGTGATGGCTAACCTTTTTGTTGTTGCATGCGCACACATCTCCCACATGCACCCCGCCTCCCACGCATGCATGGCAGATACCAGAAAATCAGCTGGCTGGTGGGAGGTGTGAACGCATGTGCAGTAGAAGTGAGCTGGGGTAACGGCTCACGTGCCCGTGAAGATGGCTCTGCATGCCACTTCCGGCACGCATGCCCTAGGTTCGCCATCACAGCCCTATACCATTTCAGACAGATGGGTATCCAGTCTCTTCTTTAAAACTTCCAGTGTTTCTCAGCTTCCTCCTGCACATTCTTATCCGGATGAAAGCTTCTTTGTGGCGGCCATTGCTGACTGCCGCTCCACCGCTTTTGGAAAAAGGAGTTAAGCCAGCTGAGGAGGGAGGTTGCGATTCCCCCGGACCCCTGCCAGATTTCCCCTGTCTTCAGTTACCTCTACGGGGTAACTATTAGCCCCCAAATCTGGCTGGATCGGGGGCACTCCAGCGGCGAGCGCAGCAGAAACCGCGCACGATCGCGGATTCCTGCCGCGGCTGAAGCCTTGCAAACCGGTTCTCCTTCATTCTAAGTTGCTCTCTCTCCTTGATTAGTTTCCACCCGTTGCTTCCTGCCCTGCCCTCAGGTACTTTGGAGAATAGTTTGACTCTCTCTTCTTTATTTTTTTGTGAAAGCATTTTTTGGAAATGGATGTGCAAAATGTTTCAGGGTAGAACAGTTGGCAAGGCATCTTTGAGCTGAAGTTGGAGGAATGTTCCCCTTAGGGCAGGGGTCCCCAAACTTGGCAACTTTAAGACTTATGGACTTCAACTCCCAGGATTCAGCTGGCTGAAGAATCCTGGGAGTTGAAGTCCACAAGCTTTGCTGGATGGAGAATCCTGGGAGTTGAAGTCCACCACAAGTCTTAAAGTTGCCAAGTTTGGGGACCCCTGCCTTAGGGAGATGAGTTTGGGTAGGAAAGGAACTCTCGTGACTACATCTAGTTTAAATGCCCAAATTATGTTTTGACTAACGACTTACATTGCCTTGGTTTTCCTTTCTGCCTGGTCCCATAAATCTCCATCCCTTCGCCGTCCACGCACCAGCATTGTTCCACAGCCAAGTCACACTGTATGGGGTCAAAGTCACCCGAATCCAGACACTGTGGTATGTAGGCAGTTTCACTGCTATTGATGTAACGGCTGACCAGAATCTGCTGCTTTTGAAGCTGGCAGAAGGACAAACCTACAGCAGGAAGAAACATGAAGTACGTTTAGCTGCCACCTCGCTCTTGCTTGTGTTTCGCTACCATACAAAGAGAGTCTGCCATGAACTCTGGGGAGGGTGGATGAGAGGAGGATATTTGGGGGGAAACGAAAGTATAACTTCTGCATCTCCCTAAGATTCTGCTTCAATTAAGAATTCCAACAATAAGGGGGAAATGGTGGGAGGGTATCTTGAAGCAAGTATGCTCTGGCAGTGCTCCCTACAATAACAGAATAACAGAGATGGAAAGGGACTTTGGAGATCCTTCTGTGCAGAGGTCGCCAACCTTTGGGGCCTCAGGGACCACCAAACTTATAATTTTAAATCCTGCGGATCAGAGACCCTGGGAAAATCACCAAAAAAAGTCTGCAGGAAAATTCCCCACCCCATTTCCCTACCGATTGATCATTCTTCATTTGGGATTGCGGGATACCGTCTCCAGCTCCATTCTCAGGGGGACAGAGACTTTTAGCTTCATGCAAGGAAAGCAGCAGAAGCAGCAGAAATCTTTCTTTCTCTCCCCCAAACTCCGCCAGAACTGAGTCTTTGTGAGACTTGTCACGCCGGTGCAACCTCTTGGAGCAGAATGCCTTGCAGGGTCCCAAAGACTCATTTCTGGCAGAGTTTGGGGGAGAGAAAGAAAGACTTTTGCTGCTTTCCTTGTGTGCAGCCAAAGCAGAAGAAGAAAGAAGCAGAAAGAAGCAGCCCGGTGGCCAGGCCAGGCGCGTGGGGCGAGTGGGGAAAGTTTCCCCCTCCTCCGCCCTTTCCCCCCTCCCCACATTACCTCATGTTGTTCGCAATGCAAGTGATGGAAGCCTTGTGTTCCCGCGCAGCCTGGATTAATTGCTTTGGGGGGTGCTTTGGGGGTGACATTTCTCTGTGGACCACCAACATTTTCTCATGGACCATCAGTGGTCCCCGGCCCACTGGTTGGCGACCATTGTTCTAATCCAAGCCTTTGCTCAAGCATGCATCCCTATACTATTCCAGACAAGTGGTTGTCCAGTCTCTTCTTAAATCATCCAATGATGTTCTCTGAACATTTGAAAAGTATTTCACTTTCTGAGGAAGATATTTTCTTAAAGACCATAGTAAATGCTAAGTCCCTTGGAGTTAGAAGAAGCATTTAAAGGGAGATCTTGACTTGCGACCGCAATTGGGACAAGGTGGTTGTTAAGTAAGTTGTGCCTGATTTTATGACCTGATCTCCTTCAGAATCCCTGGCCATTCCCAAGGAAATGTACCCCATTGAGTAAGATTCTTGTAATATAGGTGACTAACAATAAACTTTCTGTCTGATATTATTCAGTGGTGGTTGCTGGTGGTTGTGGGTTACCTCAGCTGAGGCGTGGCAATCTGCTCTGCCACGGGAATCAGCTGAGCTAAGAAACAACAGAATATAGGAAAGGAGAGAAATAAGACCAAGGGTGGGTGGGCAGGGATAGTCAAAATTTTCCCTACCGGTTCTCCGAACCAGTCAAAATTTTCCCTACCTGGATGCAAGAACCAGTCCAAACCGGCTGAATACCACTCCTGATGTTTGTGCATACATCAACTATTTTCTTTTCTAACATCCTGAATGTCCCAAAATATATCTTAAATGCAGGAAACGAGAGGTGAGTCTCTCTCTCTCTCATACACAAACACAGATGCAGACCACAATTCTTTGTGTTTTGAAACACAAGTTCACAACAAGGAGGAACTTACAAGTCAGAGACGATCCAGACTGTTTAGTCCCTGGGACCTCAATGCCCTTTTCATCTACACACCAGCAGGAAACCCCATTTTTATTGCACTGTATGTTCCTGGTGGACAAAAAAAGTGATTTCCAACATTATTACACTTTTTATACATGTACAGTATTAAGATTGACAAACCTTTGTAAGAAGCACCACTTATTTTCCAAATGTTAGCTCGTTCGCTGTTGCTTTGATCTTAGGGGGCGATGTAAGGAAGGAAGTGAGCCAATGCCTTTTTGAGCTGATAGCTCCCCTAAAAATTAAATCAGCGTTTCTCAATCTCGACAGCTTTGAAATGTGTGGACTTCAACTCCCAGAATTCCCGACTGGTTTGTTTATGGGCATTTCCAGATCAAAAGTATCTCAGGTCGCAGTTTAATGCAAGGGGCTCCAAATTTGGCTACTTTAAGACTTATGAACTTCAACTTGCAGAATTCTCCAGCCGGTATGGCTGGCTGAGGAATTCTGGAAGTTGAAGTCCAGAAGTTTTAAAGTTGCCAAGACTGGAGACCCCCGGTTTAATGGATCAATATCACATAAGCTAGCCCTGGTTATACAGTATCTGGTACCTCTTAGGAGCAATGGTGGGATTCAAAGAATTTTAATACCAGTTCTGTGGCCATGGCTTGGTGGGTATGGTGTGGCTTGATGGGTGTGGCAGGGAGAGGATACTGTAAAATCTCCATTCCCGCCTCATTCCTGGATGAAGGTTACTGCAAAATCCCATTCCCTCCCCACCCTAGTAACCTGCTTTCCAGCTCCGTTCTCTTCTGCAGGGCAACAAAAGAAGCCCCAGCCGATCAGCTGGGACTCGGGAGGCAGAGAATAGATGGGAGCGGGGCCAGTCAGAGGTGGGATTTTCCAGTTCTCCGAACTACTCAAAATTTCCACTACCGGTTCTCCAGAACTGGTCAGAACCTGCTGAATACCATCTCTGCTTAGGAGGCCATGGCGATAGGCAAACTATGACACTTCAGAAATTGGAAATTGTGCCAACATTACCTAAACTGTCCATCTTCTGAGCATTGAGGGATGTAGTCTTCTCCATCACGAAAGGCCTTCTCCCGCCGAAGTTCGCATGGACGAAGGGGCTGCGTTTCAGCCTCATACTCTACATTCAGAAGAAGGCAAAGTTATGGCACCAAATCCCTTCCTCTTATCCTAACCTCTCTTTTTGCTCTTTTTCACGGTTTGATCCCAAAGACTGGGAAAAGACACACAAATGAAAATGTGTTTTCAGGAGAACTGTTGTGCTCTAACACCCTGGTTTCTGTATTCTGAACCGTTAAAGTTCCCCTCACACATACGTGCTAGTGGTTTCCGGCTCTAGGGGGCGGTGCTCATCTCCGTTACAAAGCCGAAGAGCCAGCACTGTCTGAAGACGTCTCCGTGGTTATGTGGCCAGTATGACTAAATGCCGAAGTTGAACGGAACCCTGTTTCCTTCCTACTAACGGGGTCCTTATTTTTCTTCTTGCATTTTTACATGCTTTCCAACTGCTCGGTTGGCAGAAACTGGGACAAGTAACGGGAGCTCACTCCGTGACGCAGCGCTAGGGATTCGAACCGTCGAATTGCCGACCTTTCTGATCGACAGCCTCAGCGTCTTAGCCACTGAGCCACCTTAAAGTAAGGTACCTGCAAAGAAAGCGATGCTATTTACTTACCAAAGATGCTGGCCAGCACTCTCTTGTTAAAACAAAGAAGGGTGATGAACAGCAAGGACTTCATTTTGGAATGTCGGAGGACGGTCTCCCTCGCGAGGGAAAGGCCTCCAACCTGCACTCTGAAGAAGGTCTCAGCCGGTATTTTATAGCTGCTGCCCCTCAAATCAACCTTCACTTATGAAATGGAAGACTGGGCTCTCGAGGAGATTAGTGACGCAGGCCATTTCAAGAGCCATCGAGTTGGGTCACGCAATCAGCCCGCTTTGATTTTTCTTTCTCCGTTGCCCTTCTAAAGACTTTACACAATGAAAGGTGAGGTAGGATTTTTTTTTTTAAAAAAAAAAGCATACGGTATAAAGGAAGTCCTTGACTTACAACCGCAACGGGATCCAAAAATTTCCACGGCTAAGCGAGATCGTTGTGAAGCGGGTTTCGCCCCATTTTACGACCTTGCGTTTGCCACAGTTCTTAAGCGAATTGCTGCAGCTGTTGAATTAGTAACGCGGTTGTTAAGTGAATCTGTCTTCCCCATTGACCGTCTCAAGGTTACAAAACGGGATCAAATGACTGTGGGACACTGTAACCATCCTAAATACACAACAGTTGCCGGGATCTGAATTTTGATCAAGTGACCATGATGCTGTCATGGTTGCTAAGTGTGAAAAACGGTCCTAAGTCACTTTTTCCCCCAGTGTTATTGTAACTTTGAACAGTCACTAAATGGTGTCAGTTGAAGGACTACGTGTACATTTAAGACCAATAAATACATATTTACCTACCGGAATATTGAAAGAGGGACAAAACCTGAGGGACGAGTTAGTCCAGAGGTGGTATTCAGCAGGTTCTGTCCAGTTCTGAAAAACCGGTAGCGGAAATTTTGAGTAGTTCGGAGAACTGGCAAATCCCACCTCTGACTGGCTCTGCCCCCATCTATCATCTGCCTCCCATTGAGTCCCAGCTGATTGGCTGGGTCTTCTTTTGTTGCCCTGCACAGGAGAACGGAGCTGGAAAGCAGGTTAGTGGGGTGGGGAGGGAATGGGGATTTTGCAATATCCTTCCCCTGGAGTGGGGTGGGAATGGAGATTTTACAGTATTCTCCCCTTGCCACGCCCAAGCCACACCATGCCCACCAAGCCACGCCCACAAAACCACGTAGTAAAATTTTTTTGAATCCCACCACTGAATTAGTCTAGAATCCCTACATAGTCACAAGTGAAGTCCAACCTCCCTTGAATTCCATGGACCCTTACATGAATTTCATGGACCAGGTGCTGACCGTAAGTTGAGGAGATTCCTCTCCATAGGCATAATTGGCAATAAAATCAGTTTAATTCAGGGGCGTCCAACTCCATTTCATTGAAGGCCACATCAGGGTTCTGTTTGACTTCGGTGGGGGGTGGGTGAGGGACCTCCTGCAGCAGCCCTCTGCCAGTAAAAATGGAGCCCACCGTTTTCACTGGCAGAGGGCTGCAGGAGGTCGTTGCAGCCAAAAACGGAGCCTAGGAAGGCCGCAGGAGGCCCTCATGAACTCAGTTTTCGCTGGTAGTCACAGCAGGCTGGTCCTTTACTGTTTCCAGGGCAACCCCGTAGGCCAGATCTAAGCACCCCCACGGGCCTCGAGTTTTGACACCTCTGGTTTAATGAGATCTTCATGTGTGGACCTGATCTTTGGTGCCAGGCCCTATCTGAGCTGGTAGGACAGGTTGATGTTGAAGCAGTCCTGTAGGTAATCTGTGCTTTTATGACTAGCCCTGGTCGTAAAGGCGATGACCAGCCCCTTGAATTGCACCTGGAAAGAAACTGGAAGCTCACGCAAAACGTATTACGTGGACAAACTTAAAGAGTTCCCCATTACTGTGCACACTGGCACGTTCTGGATCAGTTGAAGTTTCCAGGTCTTCAAGGACAGCCCCACGTAGACTGCATTGCAATAATCTAGACGGGAGATGACCAAGGCATGTGTAATGGTGAGCAAGGCCTTCTGTATACGTGAGGAGACTGGACAGTTCAATGATAAAAGTAGATCATAACCCTCAGTGAAATTTTACTCAGTATTTGAAAAAAACTAGCGTACGCGACCATGTGAACCCCGCTTTAAACTACAGAATCTATGAACATCTGAATGAGAGGATGATGCTTTCTTTAAAGAATACTAGTTTTGATCTTCTAAAATCCAACAACCACACTGAAGGAGCAAGTAAAAGTAGTAAGTTGAGTTTCTATTACATTTGTTTTGGGGCAGCTGTTCCACGCAACGCACGCAGAGAAATGGAATTATTTTTGGTGTGAGCAGATTTGCTCAGGGATGTGGATGCCAACCAGCCGCAGCGATTACGAGTTCTAGGTGTGGGTTACCTCGAATTACGACCTACCCATTGTAAGCCGCCACAGTGGCTGCCTTGACCACCACAACAAATGCTGTAACATCGGAAGTTGACGGGAGTTGCCTAAAATGGCAAAATGGACTACTCTTGATTTAAAAAAAAGAATATAAATACTTTTGTTTCCACTTGGAAACCGCTTCTGAACTTTGTGCTTGAAGTGGAAAAGAATGCAACTTTGATTTTGGGTTTTACCAAGTAGATTGATAGATCTTTACAGAAATGGCTTGCTCAAGATTATAATGGAAAAAAAAAAGCAAAAAGTTGTGATTTGATGTTGATGCCTTATTTTACTGCAACAGAGAAAAGTCGGAAGTCAATGTTTCTTTTCCTTTCTTTTTTCTTGTTCTTCCTCACTTCTCTTCCCCCTCTTCCTCCCCACTGCTTTTCCATTTACTTTTGTATTTATTTTTTGCAATATTTTATAACTCAATAAAATATTAAACTGAAAAAAATGCTGTAAAATCGGGTTGGACAAAGGACCATTTTGGGACGGGAATGCAGAGATAGTATTCAGCAGGTTCTGACCAGTTCTGGAGAACTGGTAGCAGAAATTTTGAGTAGTTCGGAGAACCAGCAAATGCCACCTCTGACTGGAGACTTCCCTGCCACGCCCACCGAACTGGTAGTAAAAAAATTTGAATCCCACCACTGCGGTAATGGGCAAACTTACATTACAGTCACATGCTGAGGACTTTAATCCAAGTGCCTAATTGCTGTGGTGTATTCTTGCTTCCCACCAAAACCCCAGACAGTGGTCTTCAATGCCCTCATTGGCAGCACGTCTGCCCAAAGCCCCTGTTGAAATGCTCAGGATTTATTCAACACTCCAAAAAGCAAATTGACGAGACAGAAAGAGGGTGCGGTATGCAGAATAGTTTAATAAACAGCTTTACATACAGTACCTTACATATAGACAGTGTATTTGCAAATTTAAATACATTTTAATGTACAGTGGCTTGTACTCTTATCCTGTGGAGGTTCAAGTTTATTGTCCTTCATGTATGCAGTTCTCACACTTTTATACATATTGCCAGCACTGAAACAGTCTGGGAGGCCTTAGGCTCGATATTCCCTTGCTACCCTCAATAATGCAGCCTCTCTTGAAGAATTAGTATTTCTTTTAAAATAGTATTTTATTTTTACAAATTTCTGTACATATTGTTATTTTTAATCATCTCTCTCTCTCCATCTCCCCTTTTTAAGAAACAGCTCATTAAAAGGTAACATTTTAATTATTTTGTCACCAAGGTTCTTTTTATCGTAAGAAAACTAGACTTATAAATATGTCTCTAGAATGCAACCTGTGTATGAGCACGCCCATACACAATATATGCGTGTATATGTATACACACATATGCACGCACACAAGGACATATGTGCATACCTCGAGAGGTGTACTATAGCACTGGCTGCAGCGATAATGCAGATAAAACTAAAAGTAACTGGACTTGGCCCAGAATTTTATTTAAAAAACCCAGCTAACTAGGCAGGCTTTGGTTTCGTTAACAATTTGCCAAATCATAAGTGAATGCCTTTAACAGGCAATGTATTTGCACCATACCCCTTTGAGAAGGGGAGCTCCTAACTTATATTTGGGATTGAAACTATACAGACCATGCCATGTTTTACAAATTGCTCAACTATTCCAAGATTTTTGGCGTGCATAGGTTTATCTCCCTGGAATAAAACAGCATCAACTTTCACATTTCATACTTCCTTTCATTTCATGTTACAGAGAGTAAAAAGGTTGGGAATGGACCCATTTCATAGCCAGTCACCAGTGTTTTGGAGGTTCTCTGGATTCCTCAAGCCAGCTGAGGAAAGTGGGTATTGCAGACCAGACCCAGCCGTTATAGACACAATATCCCTCAATACTTTTAATTGTAGCTTGCCCAAATATGGATTTGAAGAAATCCTGGTTGATGCTGGCAATATGGAGGACTCGATATGAGAAGTTGGGGGGGAGATGGGGAAGGGAAGCCCCCCTTCAAATGACACTCCAGTTTCAATGTTGTTTTTTAAAACTTTTTTTTTTTTGGCACTTTTGACCATGACTTTCCCAGTTTGGTTTCTA